ACAAAAGAAGGCTTACTTATGCATATGTTGGAAAATGCACTATCTCATTGTGCAGCAGAAAGCCTCCTTGGTCTACTCTTCATTCTCCATGGAAATGAAGTGCGGAAGTGACAGTTGGACAGAATTTGAGAGAGCAACAAATGAACTGAAGGTATCAAAAATAAACTGAATATTCCTGTGAGGAAACAGGCCAAACTTATACAATAAAGCGAATGTGAGCTATAAACATGCACATAGGCTTTTATAGAATGTGTGGAGGTATTTGACCATATTTTTATGAGGCATGTGTGAGACTCTTGAATTCAATTCAGTTCTTAAGATGATTTTCACAAAACATTAAACTATAATTTTTCTGAATATCTTACATATTGAAGTTGTAAAATTCTGAGCAAAACATGGCAAACACTGTATATTAGCTACTATTAACAGCTCTGTAGAACGCCTCGCTTTTCTAATGATTTTAGCTGTCAAGCTGAATTCTCTGTGGCTTTGAATCCACCAGTGTTATTAAGAATTCCAAAGCACTTTGCACAGAACTGCCACTTGAAATCATCTCAAAGGGTAGCTATCTCTATTCTTAAAACATCAGCTTAGAAGGCATATACAGGATGATCTCAAAGTAAGGACAGAAATTCAACTTAAGCCCCACTTTCTAGATGGATGTGGTGGCTCACAACTGTAATCCCACCACTTGGGAGGCTGAGGCAGGAAGGACATGAGTTCAAAGCCCATATGAAGTATATAGTGAGTTCCAAGTCATCCTGGGAATACAGTGTAAGACCTAAACTAAAAAGGAATTGGGAAAGAGAGGGCTGGTAGGATAGTTCAGCAAGTCAAGACGGTTGCCACAGAGCCTGACAAATTGAGTTCCATCCTGGCATCCACAGGGTGAAAGAGAAAACCAGCTCCTAGAGTTTGTCATTTGACCTTCACATAGGCATCATGGCACAGACTTGCCACCCCCATGCATAATACAGAAAGAAGGAAGGAAGAGAGGGAGGGAGAGGAAGTGGATAATGAGGAGGAGGAAGATTCTGTAAACTTCCAGAAAGAAAAAGAAAAACTGAGTCAGCATTGCTTCTGACTTTTCATATTAACACTGACAGCCAGAAATGACCCAGTATCAAATACATGCCACTCCCCCCCGGCAACTCCTCCCATATCGCCCCATCACTTTTTTCTGATAACTTCATGTACTCTTTCTTCTTCTTTTATTTTATTTTTATGGAGCTTTTGGCTATTCTAACATCCTTAAAAGATTTTAGGTTTACCTCTTCAGAGGGGGGAATGTTAGAAATGTCTTAGCAACAAATTCAAGATAAACCACAAACATGCCACTCCCCCCCGGCAACTCCTCCCATATCGCCCCATCACTTTTTTCTGATAACTTCATGTACTCTTTCTTCTTCTTTTATTTTATTTTTATGGAGCTTTTGGCTATTCTAACATCCTTAAAAGATTTTAGGTTTACCTCTTCAGAGGGGGGAATGTTAGAAATGTCTTAGCAACAAATTCAAGATAAACCACAAAAGTGGCAAAGAAATTTAAATGAATATTTTTAAAAATTTTCTTAAATGTCTTCTTTGTTTCAGGTCTAGGAATATTGTTTTTCACAGGTTTAAAAGTGAGTATAGCCCTCAATTGTACGAAAGAAGACCAGAAAAGACATGACAGCCTGTGAACAAAGCTAAGTACCTCTGATTCGGAAGCTGAAACCTGAAGTGTTCAATGACTACCAAATCTTCTTAACAGTTTCATACAACCTTTCCCAAGCAAGCTCTATCTGGCTTCCACTGAGAGGGCCCTTATGTGAAGTCTTTGCAGTCTGACATCCTCATATACTTATAAAGGAAGGGTCCATTGGAAATAGAAGCATTTTAAATGCCCTCAAAGCTCACCCGACTGGACCTATAGACTGACGACAATGAAGGATGGAAATTGAACCTTCTGAGGCAGCTATGTGGGTGTTCTTCACAAACCTCTAACTGCAGGAGCATACCTGAGCAAGGGTTCTGGCTACCATGCTCTGAATCAGACTCCCCAAAGTTGGCACTAATGACTGGAGATACCAAGAAATGCTAAGAACTCCAGTGATAGCTAAATTTGTCTCAAAGATACATTAATTGCTTTTCCAAACTTTTCTTGACTCCACAGTGGTCTAGGATGTTTCCATCCAATCTTACTATCCATGCACATTTAGTCACATGTTGGCATCCACATTTCAGAGAACCCAGTATAACACACTAAAACTGATAATAACAAATTACATATTTCCAAAAAGCTTAACATACTTTAACATACCACATCAAAGCAATCTTGTAATACATGTAAAGCTATTACTTCCAGGTTCTGTGTAAAATAAAGCAGGGATTTAAAATAAAAATCTAGGCCATAGAATAAGAACTAAACTTTGAGATTTTATGATGCTTAATTGTGGTTTTGAGATAGGTTTAGAATTTCATATTTGTATGAAGGAGTAATCTGTGCAGCTGGGGACATAGCTCAGAGGCAGAGCACTTCTTAGTATATATAAAGTCCTGGGTTAAATCCCACTGCTACAGGAAGAAAGAGAGAGAGAGAGGGAGAGAGAGAGAGAGAGAGAGAGAGGAAGAAGAAGAAGAAGAAGAAGAAGAAGAAGAAGAAGAAGAAGAAGAAGAAGAAGAAGAAGAAGAAGGAGAGAAGAATGGAGGAGGGGAGGGAAAGGAGGGAAGGAAGAAAGATGAAAGAAGAATAAGCTGAGCAGAGAAAAGTTGAAATAAAAGAATTTCCTCCAAATTTTCTTGTTTCTCTCTTCCATCTGGATTTCACATCTGTGTGTGTGTGAATTATGCCTAAAACTGGTGTCACTTTTTCTAACCTAAACACTAGAATATATATCCAAAGTAATAGAATTTTTTCAAATCAATATTTTAGCATTATCCATATGTTCAATTTTGAAACAAAGAATATACTTTTTTGAGTTGTATCTAACAAAATGAATAATTAATAATAAAAACTGCATAGGAAGAACATGGAAACATAGTGTTAAATAAATACAAAAGTGCTGATAATAATACCAATATGCATATATGAAAATATGACACTGAAACCCACTTTTTGTCATTAATATATGCTAATAAAAAGATATACCAAATATCTAAAAATATTGTTACAGTTTTGAGAAGATTTTGAATGCTATCAAAGTAGCATTATAAATTATATATTTACCATAATGATTATTTTCCTTGACCACTAAATTTTCAGATCCAATGAAATTGGAATTCTGTATAAAAATACAGGGAAAAGCTAGGGAGATGACTCAGTTGGGAAAGCACTTGCCACATAAGCAGACAAACTAAGTTTGGATTCTCAGAACACATATAAAGCCGAATGTGGTAGTGCGCACCTCTAATCCCAGCACACCTACAGAGAGATGAAAGGCAGACAAATGAGAACCCCCATAAGTTTGCAGGCTGGCTAGCCTGGTGTACACAGTGCCTGAGAACAAGGACCATGTGTCAAACAAGGTGGAAGGTGAGGACCAACATAACATTATCCTCTGACCTCCACACCCATGCTATGGACACATGCACCCCTCCATACACACTAACATGTACACACACACACACACACACACACACACACACAGATAAAAAATATATCAAAGAGCAAAAATAACTACTTTTTCTTTGGTCTTTTTGAGACAGAGTTTCTTTGTAGCCCCAGGTGGCCTGGAACTCACTATGGAGACCAGGCTGGACTAGATCTCACAGAGATCCACATACCTCTGCCTCCCAAGTGCTGAAATTACTTTTTAAATTAAGAAAACAATCTATCATTTTATATTTAAGTCTTTCCAACTCTAGGTAAACATGTGTAAGACACATAGAGAACGATATTTTAAAATGTTTTAACTAGCATCCTCACCATTTAACTTGTTACTATTCTGTGGTATGCACCAATACTATAAATTAAAACAATACAATTGTTATTTATTACACTTCAGGAAATAGCCGAGTCTAATTTTTGTGAAATATTCTCTATTAAGCATTCTAATCAATGCTTACAATATCATCTTTAATGGATATGTGAGAAACAGTAACAAGTTTCACCTGACTTAAATTCATACAAGGAAATTTGATAAATCTTGTTTGATCATGTTATGAAATATATGGCTAGTAAGAAAAATGCAATCATAATAATAAGAAAAGAGTAAAACCCTAAAATTTGGGTAGATTTCTTGATGTCAAATGACAATTATATGAAAAGTTTGTTTTTTAAAATATATACATTATCTTATTCTTGAAGTTGATTGTAGATTTTATTTATCAACAGTGGTACATGGAAATTAGCAGACCCAGGCTCATTCCTCAGAAAGATTAAATGCTTTTGCCTTCCAGGAAACTACATGAAAATCATTTTCCCTTTTGTCTAGCACCAATTTTGTATTATTATTTCATTTATGGAATATGCTGTCAACTTCCCAGCATGGGCTTTGGAGGGAAGGCTTGATTTAATAGTTCTTCATTACAAATTGCCCACAGAATCTGATGATTAGCTCTCTTAGGCTTGACATTTGTAAACCACAGTTTTCCCTTGATAGATGAAAATTTTGTTAGCATTTCTAAAATTCAGAGCAATGAATCTATCCTTAGAAGTTGGAAAATGAAGCGAGGTTTGGAATTAGCAGAAATTCTAAAGCCTTTCACGTTGTCCTGCTGCCAGCATGCTTGGCATTTCCATTTTCATTCCGTGTAATAACTGAGTAATTCGGAAATTTATAGGAAAACATTCATGAAACATTTTTCAGAAAATAGACCTTATTTTTCCTTTCAAGCACACAATTACTTTTCAGGTTGCCTACATCAATAAAATAATTATCAAATTTGAACGGCTTTTCCCTGTCATAAACTCTTAATAATTAATAGTTGACTTATTATAATACCCAGAGTAAAACTTATCTTAATTTTGAAATGACTGTTCGCTGTGGTTTTACTACGGTTGCAAGGTAAGCTCCTTACATCTTCCCGTGCCTTATAGTGTTCCTTTGCCGTTATCGAAAGAATGGCCTTTTCTGTGATTTTCTCTCTCTGTTCCCCGACCAGGTTCAACTAGAAGATATAAACAGGTAACATAAACACAGGCTGACACCTAATAGCAACTTCTAGTCAAAAAACTAATTTAGGGTAATTGTGAACCTGGGTTTTTAAATTTTACTAATACATATATAAAAACAAACCTCATTTAGATAAATAGAAAAGTCATTTTATTGATGGCATTTAACACACTGAATTTCTTACTTTCTCTTTAATTTAAGATATATAAGATGTTAATATAAGAAAATACAACTTGATGAGAGCAAGGCCTGAATTTCAGAAATTAGATACTGATGAAGACTTTTAGAGTATTTTAAAATAAACTTACAATATTCTTAGTTTAGGCTGATATTTTCTATTATAATCTTTCACTGTAGTAAAGAATAAGTGGGCTTCTGTTATGCTAGGTTAATAAATTGAGGTCTGCATCAAAACGATAGATTCAGACACTCTGGAAAGGGCTAAAATGACCTCTAATGTGTTGTAACGGAAGGTTGTGTATCTGCACAGCTCACAGTTGCCTTCAATCTGGTCTGTTTACACTCTAAGATAAAGGTCTTCTGCTACTATTCCCAACCTATGCTTTAGTAACAGCAATATGGGGCCCATTCCACACCTTTATGATCCCTACGGAAATAAAATACTGTTTTTAACAAAGAAAAAAACTAAATCCACACAAGAAGATTAATTGAATAGATCAACATCATTAGAGACAAACAGAACAAGAGTCTGACATAGACCCCTCTGAAGTGGGATACTTAACGGTTCTTAAGCAATGGATTCACCACATCATATGCCCTTGAAGGATAGACTAATAATGAAAAATGACCATGTTTTTGATTTTTGCTTTGTTAATGAGGCTGTTATAAGCAAGTCACATCTGGTTACATTAATCTTTAATTTGCTCTATCTAAAGATTTATACATCCTATTCTGGGGACAAATAGGGAATGTGGGCTCAACAGCATGACTTCTTCAATCTAGCATATACTTGAAAAGTATCAACCTGCTAACACCTAATCCAATGGCATGATATAACTCAGCACCACAAACATCTGATTTGGCAGACAGGAGGGGTACAGGAATCTTCAGGTGTCTCTGATGATCACCTAGGTACAGAGTTAACAAATGTTTCTACAAAGGGGTGGTCAATATTCTAGGTTTTATTGGAGGGGAGGGGACAGTCTCTGTAGCATGTACTTGCAGTATGAAATAGGTCCATAAATGGATCAATCTGTGCTTCAATAAAAGTTTTAAAAAGAGGTGGTAGGCTGAATTTTGCCATCAGGCATTTGTATGCCAGTCTCTGAGCTAGAGTGAGGATCACTGATAAAATGATTTTTTATCAGTTTTTTAATCATCATATAGGACTATTTTTAGGGTCATTCTCTCCAAGGAATATTTGTGACAAAACAACACAAGAGGTGTAATATTACAAAGACTTAAATATCAATCTTATGTGTGGCTCATGGTACAATAAACTGGCCTCAAATCTCTGGACATTTATTTGATTTCTTGAGTCAGGAGATAAGGAGTATATAAGACAGCAACTGGAGAGTTATCAAATTCATCTTTTTTTTTTCAATGTTAGGAATAAAACCCATGGCCTTGGACATACTGAGCAGAACTCTTCCAGTGAGCTGTACCGCCAGCCCTTGGTTTTTGAGACAGGATCTTTCTGTGCAGATCAGGCTGGTCTTAGACTCATAATCCTCCTTCTTCTGTCTCCTAAATTCTGGGATTATAAACATGTACCACCACGCCCAGCAAGTTTATTTTCTATAAAATTGATTTCCAAGTGCAAAGACCTTCAGGAAAATCTTTCTTAAAGGGAAGCAAAACAAAACAAAAACAGAGGCATGAAGTTCTTTGGTGCCATGTAGAAAAGTCAGATTCTAATGAGGCTCCCCAGGGCCATGACATTTAAAACAGTGTTCAAGTACCTATTGAAAATATTCTTTACCTTTGAAAGCACTATAGTTGGGAAAAAATTGCATCTATTTCCATATCCAACTTCCAAAGAAGCACTATACTAGTCCATATAAGTAGAGGGAAAATATACCAGCATTACTGAAAAGCGTTGTAGTGCCAGATAGAGTATATTTGACAAAATGTAAGGGTTTACATATAGGGTCTTTTCTGGAAATAGAAAAGCCATTCCAAAAGAGATACGTTTTAATATAATCATTTAGAGGAAATTATTGAGTAAAAGTCAAAGAGAGTACAATTTCACCCTGAGGTATTAATCATATGCAGAGCTAATAATGTCCTTCCTTCAAAACCCAAGACATGACAATAACAGTAGGATTGTTCTCTCCTGTCACATTTCGTGAGTCTATCCTGTTTCTTTATTAAGACAAAACAAGCAGATGCCTCTGGTTTGCTGTCCTTATCTCAAATATATAAAATAATTATTTGGTCAATTAAGCTGAAATTTCTAAGGCTGATTTTTCATGTGTTAAGACAGGAACTTCAAAAATTAAAAATCCTTGTTAATATTTATGTATGACTGGCTAAAATTTATGTGAAACTGTAAAATCCCTATCGACTAAAGGAAAAAAGTCATTTTGTTCTAAACATATTTTGCTCCTTTTAAATGTGAGAAAATAGTCTCACATATTCATTATATAATTTAAAATGTAATTCAAAATGCCCAGTTCACCATTTCACTGGACTTTGCTTCTAAGACTAAAATGACATACAATTAAAACCTCACTTTCCATAATTTGGCTAAAGTTGGGTTTATTCTGTGTTGACTGAAACCAGAAAAGAATAATCAAGAGACCAGTTGGGAACAGACGAAGAGTGGGAAGAAGCCAAGGCGCATTATGACTTTGTCAGAGAAAACTGAATAAAAGGCTTCAAGAACACGGTCTGGTCAGACACACAGGAGACAGATGGAAGAAGACTAAAGCCACATCGAGACATATAAGAATTATGAAAATTTTCCACAAAAGGGGCTGGGGGACTTAGCTCAGTGATAGAGCGTTGCTTAGTATGTTTAGTATGCATGAGACCCTAGGTTCGGATGCTTGATACAAAACTTTTAAAAAAGGAAAAATTTCTACAAAACATAACTGAAGCAATAGATTACAATAAAAGATTTCCATTAGTTAAGATCTTCCAGGGTGTATTTTATTTAAAACTGTTAACACTGAGGTTTGGGGTATCATTTCCTCTTTAAAGGCCTAAAAGTAATTGTTTAATAATATATAATTCTACATAAAACATGGACTTCCCGGTGACTATAATTGAAAGTGCTCTTAATTTTTGAGAGATGCTTCAACCACCTGCAGGCTCATGATGCTCTCCTATGGACATCCTCAAGAGGAGAGAAAGCTCAAGACCACCTCCTGGAGAAATGCAACCACAACAGTAGTAATCTTGTCTTATATACATCACTAATGGCTAACTGGCTTTTCCTTTTTCCCCCAAGGTATTTTGAAGTACATTTATAAAAATCATAAAAGTCATGTAAAAATTTTAACATGATAAAATATTTTAAAGAAGAAAAATAACTCTAAAATTGTCATTCTAGTGTTTAATTATTAATATAATTAGAAAAAAGTACAGTTGTTCAAACAAGCTTGTGTGTTCCATCCATCTAATTCATACTGACATCCCAGATAAGCACTAGCCAAAGGGGGAAAAGTCTATTAGTCCAATCAAAAGCTCATAGCTCTAAACTGTGATTCTCTGTGTGGTTTTTCTATTTTTGGTTTGTTTTAAATAGTAGTTAAGTATAAAGTAGACAATATATGTTGTAGAGAGTGTTCTTAATAAATCAACATGCCCACAAAGAATAATGATCTATCTAAGGTGTTCGTCAGTTAATATTGATCTACTTATGTACTGTTTGATCCATAGCTTACATGCAGATCAATATAGGCAATACAGTTTAGCATAAACAACAGGATAACCAGCCTTCATATATACTGACAAGCTTCCCAAGGTCTGTTAATATACAAAAGACTGGGACAAATTACTTATTTATATATACAAAACATGGTTATAAAGGCCAGCTGCAGGTATTTTTTTGGAAAGTGCATTTTAATAAGGTCCTATTCAGTTCCAGAACAAATGGGGAAGAAGTAGTTTGCACTACAGAGTTGAGCGCAAGAGCTTTCTCTTTTTCTAGCCACGAAATCAATCATTTGTCCAGACTGTGGGAGTCAGAGTAAGTTACTGAAAAGAGCTTCGTATATAAACAAGTCAATAACTCATTGTGTGTTATTGTCGAGCTGAAGAAGTCGGCTTTCAAAAAGCTGCCCTGCTTCTCTCAGAATGAATGTCACTGTATTCAGAGGCTGGGAGAGTCCTTTGTTTCTAGCCAATTGCTGGCTGCCATTTATGTATGGGAACTGGAGATGGCTGCAGGACACTAGGGAAGACTATTTCCTATCGTGGATGTTCAACTAAAACTATGTATTTTGTCAGTTTCAATAATTTGTATCTGAAAATGGATAATGAGTCTGCTAAGAGTGGCCACATAAAAAACTTGGCAAAAGGGTGAAATGACAAATGAGTCTGTACCATTGTAAATTGGAACAGAATGATACTTTGGGTTCCCTGCGTGTCAACACAGATAAATCTAACATTCAGGCAATGGTTTGAAAAGTTCAAATGTACAACATCAAACTGATGAACAGGTCAACATGTCAAAGAAATGCTATCTGTCCTTGGAGTAAATAAAAAGGTTGATTCTTGGGACAATCAAATGGAGTTTTCAAAGGTTCTGTGTGTGTGTGTGTGTGTGTGTGTGTGTGTGTGTGTGTGTGCATGTGTGTGTTCACATGCTTCTTTTATTCATCTCTGTTAAAGACAAATTAATTAATAAGGTGTATTTTGAAGAGAATAATAAAATTTAAGGTACGACTTTAACATTTGGGATAAGGAAATCTCAACTATCTTGGACTTAAAATTAATTAAAAGATCTTTCAGTAGTCTAAATGCACCCAAATTCAAATTCATAAGATATAAATATTGTCAGATTTTTTTGTATTTCCTCTTAACCTT